TCTAGGCCTTCCTTGGTGACCAGGTTGTAACCAAGGAACCAAGGCCGTGTTCCCAGTGTTTCCTACAATTTTTACATAAGCAAGAGTATAAATAAGAAGGGAGAGGAAGCTCTTGCTCTCTTCCTTCCATCAGACCGAAGGCGAAGGTTCTTTGCTGTCGCTCTGCCGGAGAGAAGGAGTGAGGCCCAGCGCATCTGGTTGGCCTTGAGAGGCAGAGAGTGCTGGCAGTCGCTGGTGCAGTTTTTCTGCTACCTTGAGGGAAGTATTTGCTTTTTATCCCTTTTTTTCCTTTTCCCTTTCCTTTCCTTTTTCCCATTTTGTGGGGTTCTCTGTGGGTGTTACACTGTATATAATTATATATATATATATATAGATATATATATAAATGTGTTTCACTTGGAATTCGATTTGGTTTGGGTTCTTTTGATATTTTTGCATGGTCTTTTCAGTTTTTCCAAGAGAGGGAGAGGGAAGGTTCTGTCCCTGTGATCCAGGCACTCGGCTGGGAGCGAAGTCCAACCTGGGACATTTTTTGGAGGTTCCACTGAGATAACAGTGGGTTGTTTTGGTAACAATTCCTGGGCAGTTGGCCAAGTTCTGCCAAACATTGACTTTGTTTGGGAACAGTGCTGGGAGAGCTGCCAAGAGGGGTTTGTTTATATAAATATACCTCTTGTTTAGGAACAGTGAAAACAACTATATAAATAATGGCCACTTCCTTAATTTTCAATGTAATTTTAGCAGCCTTCGCACCTGTTCTGGGCTTCTTCATGTGGGAACATCCAGATCCAACAGTGTTCAATTGGAGAGGCATTTGGGAAAGGTATTCCTCCTTCCTTGACATTAAACGCTGAATGATAGATATTCCCAAACTGTCGCCTCTAATTATTATTTAAATTGTGTGGCAACAATTTTGTAAATGATGAAGGTGATGGACATATTATTTAAAATTGGAAGGATTGTGTTTTGTTGGTTTCCTTGTTACAGGAAAGGCCAAACCTTGAAGGGATTAGCTGGAGCTTTGGAAAGGGGCTTGAA